GACCACCGAATGATTTGCCACCACGTTTGCGACCGACAGCATCAATTTCATCGATGAACAGAATGCAAGGGGCATTTTTACGAGCCATAGCGAACATGTCACGTACACGGGATGGACCCACACCGACAAACATCTCCAAAAACTCTGAACCAGAGACAGTGATGAAAGGCACATTGGCTTCACCGGCAGTGGCCTTGGCCAACATAGTTTTACCGGTACCGGGAGGTCCAGTCAACATAGCACCTTTGGGTATCTTAGCACCGAGATCGATGTATTTTTGAGGATTCTTCAGGAAGTTGACAAATTCCATAATTTCGATTTTGGCCTCTTCACAGCCGGCAACATCCCTGAAAGAAAATGAAAAGATAATTTAATTAGTAATCGTAGTAATTGAGACCTTAAACAATATTTTTCAAAAACAAAACGGTATTGCGACCTTGAGAAAATATTTTAAAAATATCCAAGCATGTGTTGGAGAGCAACAGTGTGGGGCTTTGATTTTTTTGATATATAATTTTAATTATTTAATTATTATTTTAAATAATCCACACATGTTGGGGCTTTGAATAATATTTTTAAAAATGGCAAGCCTGTATGGGCTTTTATATGGGCTGTTTATAGTTCTTAAAAGAATAATATTTCCAGGTAGTGTGAACAGAATGGAAAACCTATGGTTAAGTGTGTAAATATATGTATTTTCTATTCGACTTACTTGAATCGTACACCAATTTCATTGGAATTAATGAGCTTGGCTGTTGACTGCATGACACCGCCAAACAGACCACCACCTTTACGACCCTTACCGCCCATCATATCGGCAGAGCGACGCATCATATAGACTAGGAAACCAATTATCAACAAGGTTGGCAACAGTCCAGTTAAACTGGAAGCCTCAACTTCGGTACGATAAATAACAGGAACAAAATTCACCGGTTCTATGCCCTGTTCCACTTGGGCATTTTCTAGATTACGTTCAAATGAATCCACACTGCCAATGTTGAACCACAATACACCACTGGCATCTTGGGCATTGCCTGGCAAGAGACGAACACGTACCCATTTCTTGTTCACCACCTCTAGTTTTTCCACAATGCCACGGTTAAGGTAACTAAAAGAGGAATGCATTACAACAAATCTGGTTTTTACTAAAAGGGAGTAGAACCTACCTTGTAACAAATTCTTTCCATGAGATTTCTTTGTAACCCATTTCAAAGAATGCCAATGTGGCAATTATACCCACAGCAGCCAGGGCACCGAATATAACCATTTTCTCGCGGTTACCATCACCGCCATCGCCAATGGGTCTACCTTGGCCACCCTTGCCGCCACCACCACTTCCCGACTGTTTGGCGGTATTGTTGAACATACCGAAATTCCATTCATTACTCTTTGGTTGTGATGCCGACTTTGGTGCTGCAGCCTGTTCGGCAGGCTTTGCTGATTTCCCTGCTGCAGCAGCTGCCTCACTGGCAGCCGGCTTAGCCGCCTTGCCCTCTTCGAAATATTTTTCAAAGCCCTTTGGTGGTTTCTTGCAGAAATGCCTAATCTGTTCTACTAAATAGCGTATCAAAGGCACCTGTTCCAATGCCACCGCTCCACGTTGTATCTGTTACCCGAAAAAAGAAACAAAACCAATTATCACCTTTTCTATTTCACAACAACATCATCATCTGCATGACTTACCTTTTCTGTTGCCGGTGTGGCATTATGTTGGCTCATATAGGTACGTCGCATGCAACGTTCCATGGCCTTTGCTGAACTCAGCAGTCGATGTGCCATTCTTCAAAAATTTGCAATCCAATCTGGCTGCCGCACTAGAGTGTAGAGGTGTTATTTAACTTTTTTGCACACACAAAGTTCGGTTCGGTTCACGCCGCCGTTCGTTTTTGCTTCACAAATATTCAATGAAGATGATATCTACGGAGTGTGGAAATTGGGGTTTTGTTTAATTAATCAAAATCATTACTCACTTTCAATTAATTAATTTATAAAATTACAATAAAATAAACTCTGATTGGAAAATACCGATTGTTGTGAAATGTTCGATGTTTCTGACAGCAGCGGTAAAAAAATGAGATGTAGTGTAGAAACGCCTTTGCGAATGACATAAACAGCTGATTGATGAAGTGGGAGAGTAATAATATCGATATGAGCCGATAAGGAATTATCGAATAGGGTAATTAAAGCATATTGGCGACATATTAAATATATTTATTTGAAAGTAGAAAAAAATAGTCAGGTTGGAAAATTACTCGTAAGATTTGTATGAGGAATATGCCGAAAATTGAATATGTTTTGTAATCTACACATGTTTACTACGTCTTCGATATAATAATTAAAAAATTTCTATCGAAGTAAAATTTGGGTATTTTGGGATTTTGTGGAACAAACTTTACACTAGTAGGACGTGAGCCAGGAAGGAAAGAGTTAATAAAGAAAAAAATTATACTATATATTGGTCATTTTAATTAAAAGAGCAAAAATTCATAATTGCAGCTAATTTGGCTGAAAAGCGTGCCGAAATATAAATTGGCCATTAAATTGTAATTTGGCTTCAATTAAAAAGTAAATAAAGACAAAAAAATAAATAAACCGTTATATGGTATTATTGAACCATGCTTGTAACATAATTGGTCCGTTCCCGTACTGCAAGAATTTACTAGATTTTACTATTTTCTTCGATATCATAAAGGAAAATTCGTTATCGTAGTAAAAAGTAGTAGATTCTTGCAATACGGGAACAGACCGAATATACACTGTATGGGGTAGTCTGCAAATATTTTGAGGTGGAAAAAACCGACAAACTAATTTTAGTTTGTTCCCTTATTAAGATTTTTTTTAAATTAGTAAAAATATGAAACAAGTTACGGTTAATAGAGAATTCATGTAGATTCTGGAAGAAATCAAATACTTTTTCGTGTCCTCTGCGGTAATCTGCTGAACTATGACAAAGTAAATAGTTTCGATTGATTTTTGACAGTAAAAACTGTGGGGACGCCATCTAGCGATGAATAGTAAACATTAACAAGACGCACACGAAATCAATTTTACGGTATTATCGGTTTGTGGTAATACAGTGCACTGCCATAGAATGGTTTGGCCCTAAACCGCTGCAGTCATGTATGGTGGTTATTTTGGATACTACCTTTTTGGAAAAATAATTTTTCTTTAAAAAAACACAAAAGGGGAGTTTATCAAATAATATATTCTCAAGGCCTACCAAGTGGTATGTTCTCGTACTACAAGAATCTACTAATTTTATACCGTTCGCCACACTGTGGTACAGGGTATTATGTCTTTGTGCATATGTTTGTAACAGGCAAAAGGAATCGAGATGGACCCATGGTTCCTTTTGAGAATATTCATAGAATCACTTTATGAGTCGATTTACGCATGTCCGTCCGTCCGTCCATGTATTTTTGTGAACAAAGTACAGGTCGCATTTATGATCCGGTGTGGATGAAATTTGGCGCAGCTCACTTATTTGGCCCATGGACGACCCCTATTTAAATTGATCGGTTCAGATGTAGATATAGCTCCCGTATATAGTTTCATCCGATTTAAGGTGAATGGGGCACCAATGTCCTTATATATCTTTCGATTTGCACGAAATTTAGCATAGGGTACTGAATTGAGGCTAGAATGAAGTGTGTCAAGCTTCGAGAAAATCGGTTCAGATTTAGATATAGCTCCCATATATTTTATATTTTCGCCCGATTAAAGGAAAATGGGGCACCAGAGTCCCTACATATCTTTCGATTTGCATGAAATTTCACACAGCGTATTGAATTAGGTCTAGAATGATGTGTATCAAGTTTCGAGAAAATCGGGTCAGATTAAGATATAGCTCCCATATATAGTTTTGTCCGATTTTATGTAAATGGTGCAACAAAGTCCCTATGTATCTTTCGATATGCGCGTAAATTTGCATGGTGTACTCTATTGAGTTTAGAAATCTGTCCCTACCATTCCTCGTGTTTTAAGCTTCGAGAAAATCGGTTTAGATTTAGATTTAAGTTCGTTCAATTTCATGTCAATGTTCCTTCGAAAAGGCGTCGTCTGTTAGGATACATATGTAGAATATATCCAAAGTGGTGAAGGGTATCATATAGTCGGCTCAGTCCGACTTTACTACTTTCTTTACTTGTTTCCTTTATGATATCGAAAAAAGTAATAAAAATTAGGAGATATTTGGCCTGTTCCTGTACTGCAAGAATCTACTACTTTTTACTATGATAACGAAATTTCCTTTATGATATCGAAGAAAATAGTAAAATCGAGTAGATTCTTGCAGTACGGGAACAGACTAATTTATAGTACAAAGTTGTGTATTTACAAAAGTTGTGTATTTATTTAAAAGCAAAAAACTTTTCAACCAAACACCACAATCTTCGATTTTCGAAATATATTTTTTTGCGACTATAGAGATGCTTACAAGAGTTTACTAAACATATCATTTCTAATGGCTATGGATTGATTTCATACAAATGGGTATATGCATATACTATAATCTTTTGTATATTTATATATAAAAAGTTCAATTGTCGTTTATTTGATAATCTCTTTTATTTTATAATAGTCCTTCACTTATCCATTTATAATCATAATATTACACTGTAAATTACTAATTTCATGGGATTTCATTATATTCCATCAAAGCTTTCACAAAACACACATACACACTTGCATATCCATCCATTACCACACGTTTTCCAATGACTTTTTCAATTATATTATCATTAAATTAAGAGAAATGATAACATTAATACATGGTTTCCGACATTTTCGTTACTCGACTACTCAATTCTCTCATTATGTCAATGTTGTTGTTGTCATCGTTCTCATCGTCGTATTCCCTGATGCTTACAATCAAAGATGTCATTAGAGAAGATGTCAAATATTGAAGGCACAACTCATTAATCATTACATTTTCATGCCATTCATGAACACAAGCAAACAAACAAACGAAACAATACAACAGCAAACGCTACATTAACAACAACAACTGCATCAGTAGCAGCATCAGTCAAACATACAATCTATCAATTAATCTCTTCGCTCTTTCAATGCTCTCAGAGCTGCTGTATATTCGGTAGTGTTTCATGTTGATGTCGTTCGGTCGGTAATTGATGAAATGAATACAGGTAGTAGTCGTCGCGACGAAATTAATTATAGCCATCATTTGGAGACATGTAAAGGGGGGACAGTCTGCCATCCAGTGGTTGATATTATAACAATTAGGGGGGTAACATGGGTATTTAATTTGGCCGACGTATGTCTGTGTGTGGTCAAATCAGATGCCTGACATTGCTCTTCAACTAATTATTGACAGATGGTAACACAACAAACAACAAGTGATTGCTCTGTATTCTCTAAGGGAGTAACTGTTTGAAAGAGGAGAGATTTAAAATTCCTAGAGTGAAAACTCAAATGATAAACAAGAACTTTTCTTACCCTCCATCGTGTGGTGTATATTCATCAATAATTAAGTGAAATCTCTGTGTGTATTAACAAACCTTCACTTGTATTTTATGGGGATTTTTTTACTGAGGACGCTATCAAAATATCGAATATAGGTCGAGAGATTTAATCATAAGTTTTAGCATTCCAAAAACCCCGAAGTACCAAATTAGCCGTTGGTATGGCTAAAATCGTCAAAATACAAAAATTGAGCCGAAACTTTTTTGGACCAGCTTCCGAGACCCTGATTTGCCCAACCACTGGTTTTTTGGTTGGAAAATGCAACAGAACCCCTCAAATGATCGAAAATTGGCAGGACCTCCAACGAGAGTTTTTATGCTTTGATATATTCCAACGCCCAAAACCCCTAAAATTGAACGGAAACTTTTTTGGACCACCTTCCGAAACCTTGAATTGCCCAACCAAAGGTTTTTTGGTTGGAAAATGCAACTGAACCCCTCAAATGATCGAACATTGGCAGGACTTACCACGAGAGTTTTTATGCTCAGATATATTCCAGTGCCCAAAACTCTGAAATGCCAAATTACAGTCCCTTCGGATAGAAGATGCTCCTAAGAATATAAAAATATCGAAATTTTGAGGGGCACTATTATATGTGAGCTATACCAAAAAGTGGACCAATGTACCCCATTACCAAACATCGTAGGAGTACTAGAAAAGTCGGTGCAAAATTTTAAAGCTATATCTAAATATTGTGATCTGCAGCGTGATTTCTATAGGAACTTCCATTAGCTCGTTTATAGAGAATCCCTTTAGCTCTTCTATAGAGAATCCCATAAGCCCGTTTATAGAGACTAACGTCAGATCATTTAAAGACCCTTCCTTCAGCTCGTCAATTGAGATCCATTCAACTCGTCTATGGAAGGGACTTCCTTCAGCTCGTCTACAGACCCTTCCTGACAGATCATCAACAACCATCCTTCAGCTCGTCAATTGAGATCAATTCTGCTCGTCTAAAGAAGAGACTCCCTTCAGCCTTGGATATAGCAGAGACTCCCTTCAGACTGCGTTATAGCAGAGACTCCCTACAACTCATCTATAGCTGAGACTCCCTTAAGTTCGTCTCACCATATACTCCTTTCAGTTCGTCTATATCAGGGACTCCTTCGGCTCGTTTATAGAAGAGACCCCCTTCAGCTCGTTTATAGAAGAGACCCCCTTCAGCTCGTCTATAGAAGAGACTCCCTTCAGCTCGTCTATAGAAGAGACTCCCTTCAGCTCGTCTATAGAAGAGACTCCCTTCAGCTCGTCTATAGAAGAGACTCCCTTCAGCTCGTCTATAGAAGAGACTCCCTT